CCACATCCCCCGCACACACACATATATATTATGGAACTCAGTATTATATAAATTACTTCAGAAGAATCAAATTTATGTATAACCACTCACCTTTCCTCTTAATCGGCAGAGGGCATTTTAGGTTGCTCTCCATCAAACCACAGTCAAAGCCAGTGGAATATTTCATTTGTATATTGTCAGGCTCATATACCACATTAGCATCTAAGTAACCTCCGTCAGCATCAGCTACTGCTTATAAAGATAATTGCATACATGACCAATTATAATACATTTGAAGTACTATTTAAAGAACTATAAGCATTTCATGTATTGATTGATTTAACATGTAAATTATTAGGCTATCACTATCATCATGTGTCATCACGGCACACGTCATCATTTTTATCATCTTTCCCATGATTTGCTTATTTGCGGACAACCTGTCGATAGGTTACACTGTGGATAAAGCATGTAGCTGCCCCCGATCCGTCGGTGATAAACCGTTACCAATTAACCAACCATCACAGTGGCGGATCTAGGATTTAGCAATGGGGGTGGATAATGGGAGGTGTGAAGGGGCAGAGGTGAGGGGCTGGCAAAAACTTGCCAAACTTAGTCACAATGTTCCATGACCAAATATTTCATTACCTCCGCCAACGAAGTTTGCATTAGTTTATGTTTTTTCCCCTGTTTTATTTATTTGTCTGTTGGCATATTTGTTACGAACAGTCTACCGCCCATAGTTGTTATCACAAACCTGTCATACTTGGTCACAGTGTTCCATGATCAAATATCTCAAAGTATTTGAATGTTGAAGGGTAAGGGTTAAACGTCAAGGTCACAATCAACAAAAAACAATTTTTTGAAAGTTTTTTTCAGAAATTTGTTTTGTTTATTTCTTTCTGTATTTGTTTAGTTGTTTTTCCATTAATGATACTGAAATTGTCACCAGTACAAAACCATCCGCAAACTGGAGTTCAGTAATTGAAGTGTCCCCATCTATATTTATTCCTTAATTTAAATGTAAATTTATCTTCACATAATTCTTTCTTTCTCTGCTTCTTACATATTTACGTTAAATTTATTATCTAGATAATATACTGACGCATACATTTATTACTTCGCTTAAGCATTTTACGTAATCGAACTATGTTAGGCTCTAGGCCAAGGCATACATGTATACATTGTGTCTGTATTTAACATTTTTATATCTATGGGGTGGTAGAAGTAGGTTGACGTAAATTGGAAGAAGACTGTAAGGTATAAGAATGATTTCACGCAACTCATTAATCTGTTGATTTTACCGTTCTTTATGTAAACTAACATTTTGTAGACTAGGTGTCAAATTGTATTAACTTGATGGGCTTCTTCGTTTAAGTTTGTTAGTCTGTAGGTAGTACAGAGCTTCATGTTCTATTGCTTTTTTTCTGTTCCTTTGTTATATTGTTGATTATAAGGGTGCTTTGTTCACTGTAAACGTATGTCACCGATCTGAAGGTGTATATGCAAATAAATACATAAAAATATGACAAGTATCAATTTTACTCATGATAGCTCCAGGAGCAGACTAGCTAAATAGCTAGCTAATGGTGGAATACAATATCCACCAGTATAATTACGTTTTGTGTGTACTAGGTACTTACGTGCCATAAACGAAAGCTCTATGTCTATAAAACGGACCTTTGAAGTGATCCTATCAGGTATCATTTTGTATATGATATCCGGACTTCCTGATGGACCTACATCGATTAAACGAATATGCAGGACTGTTTAGTAAGTGTAAACGTACACTAATAAAGAAAGGGTTGTAGTTTAAAGATTACCGGTACTCTCAATGGAGATATACAACATATACTGGCCTGTACGATTACGTAGATACTGTTTAATATTTTTGAAGTAAACAAAAAGTAAGGTATAACACTGGATTGATAAATTTTTTGGCTAATATACCTTCGAATGTATTTCTATATCAATAAAGCATTAATAAAAATACATAATTTTAAAAGTAATACTTACCGCACGTTCTGAAGTCCAATGAGCTGTTAACGTGGCTTGTTTGATTTTGAATTATCGGTGGAGTTTTAAGACGCTTGATATCTTTAATATCGCATGATCCGGTTTGTTCTGAAAAAACAATATATGAGACGAAAATTAGCAATAACAGGCCAACGTTTATTCTCAACATTTTGAGTGTTGTTCAGTAACCGAATATTTGATATGCCTAAACTGTACAATAATACAATAACAAATCTGTTTCCTTGTAGATCTATATTGTTTACCATGTGCCGCTTCAACAGCGAAACAAAATGGTATTTTATGCACATAATAATAGATTGTTAGGAACAAAATATTCACGTAACCAAGTTTTAATTTCCTTGTTCCGGTTAGCAGAAAATGGAATAAAAGCAGTATGTATGTATGTATGTTGTTATCTATAATGATACATCTCATATTATTAATGGTGTGTCTAGCTCCGTTGAAGTGTTTAGCTAAAGGGCCCCCAACCTAAAGTCTTTGCTCACATCCTCCAATATTCTCTCTTCCCGGCCCCAACCAGGTAACAAACCTTGCGGTAATCCCAGATGTAATATTTGCCATATCCTCATAACAGACAGTCGCATCCATGTACCCAACACTAAAATCACCATCAGACCCCCTTCGCTCACTTGCAATGCCCATAATATCATATATCTCATATGGTGTACCGTATGTAAAGGGGTGTGTTATGTCGGGGGAGTGGCTGCACATTTAGACCGTAAAGGATTAATAACCACAAAAGCTCTATAATAAACAATTATAATCTTCCCTTAGCAGATCACTTAATGAAAGAAGATGTGCTGAAATAAAATGGATTTTGAAACTTAATTAGGACTCATAAAATAGGAGCTAATAAGGACCAGGTTTTGCTTCAGGCTTTACATTCACTAAATAATATTTCATCACTCTTTAGTACAGTTCCCGTTAACATCAATAAATGACTAATCATGAAATAAACACCAGTAAGTATTATCGATACCAGTCATGGAGTTATAATTATTTTGATAATAACAACTCCATGTACCAGCTAGGCCCCTATTTGCGACGTTTACTGGAGAAAACATATACAGTACAAACAAACCGTTGTTAGTGTGAAGTACAGGCTACTCCACGGAACCGTACGGTTTCGATAGCGGTTTATAATGCACATCGTGCGAATATCTGATATATACTGTATTATGATTCTCGAACGTTCTCGATAATAATAATAATAATAATAATAATAATAATAATAATAATAATAATAATGATGATGATGATGATGATGATGATGATGATGATGATGATGATGATAATAATAATAATAATATTTATAATAATAATAATAATAATAATAATAATAATAATAATAATAATAATAATAATGATAATGATGATAAAAATAATAGGTCGATTTATAAGGTGCAAATAAACAAGGTCTGTAAACGCCATGTCCAAGTCCTCTGGGGCGGATCCAGAGATTTTCTGGGGTTGAGGAACAATATGAGCTTCTCGCCGCCACGCCCACCTTAGCCCCACCATGGTTGGTGTAAAGTGGAAAATAATTGAGCTATCCTTTCTTCCACTGCTGGATCGCCACTGAACTTATGGGTACAATTTTTCATCTCTTTATTATTTACTGAATTGTGGGAGAGGGGAACGGGCCCTAATGTCCCCACTCCTTCGCTTGATCCGCCACTGGTCCTGGTTTCATGTTCTATGCTTTTAGTAATTTTATCTTTTTTATTATATAATATTTTGAAACCGAATATAAAACAAAAAAAGAAGCAAGTAAAGAAAGGTAAGGTGAATGTAAAAAGAAGAACAAACTATCCTAAAAATATAAAGAGTGAGAACGATCGAGAACCATAGTATCGGATGCAGTATTCGCACGGTAGATGTACATTAAGGCTATGTTCAGTCACAACGACTTCTGTCTCTTATACACATCTAGATGTGTATAAGAGACAGCCAACGTACAGGGCGATCTAAATTGTCACGCTCAAGTCGGCAATATCCGAGAATGAATACCACATTGCCTGGCGTGAGATCTTAATAATTAATATGAGGAAACATTAAAAAGATATCAAATGTTAATTTAAATCCTAATAAAATCACGTATTACCGGTACTTCTTTCGTTATTATTATTTCAAGTATTTCGGTATGGCTATGTTCAGACACAACGACTTACGCTAGCGTAACGTTAATCGAGTGGTGTGAACTTGTGCGCGGCGTAGCGAACGCCAGTATTATCGCGCAATCACTGGCGTACGGTAATCCAGCAACAGACCCCAGATTAGCGTACGCTACTGATTTACGACAGTCACGCATCGGTGATTTTGAACTCAGCCAAGATTTGACCAATCAAAATAAACCTAGATGTAAACAAAAAAAAATAGCCTAAGGCCGGTTCCCACTGAACGCGATCAAGCGAATTTCGCGTCGAAATGTGGCGCACAGCTGAATCGAAGACGCGACTGGCGTTTCCAATGTGAACATGCAAACGATTTTGTAGTCGAACACGCGAACGCCCAATATTCGAACTTCGACGTGGTGCGCGCGGTGGTCGCGGAGGCTTCGCCTGCGAATTCACGATAGTTGATCCAAGACCAACTTTTTCGGATTCGCGAGCGAATTCGCGGCCGAATTCGCGGCCGATGGACCATCGCAAGGCTTAGATTCAATGCGTGGAAAAGGATTTGCAGAGACGAGTTGAGTTATCTCCTCTTTCTACCAGTATTAGGCCTGTCCAGCCTAGGCCTCTGATGCCCTGCTACTACCTGAGACCTACAGTAGGGTAGGGTAGGCTAGGCCTACTATCTACCCTTAGGAGGCCTAGCTCTAGGCCTTGAATTAATATACTAAAAAAAAAACACCGTATGTTTATATTCACTCTTTTCATCCATTATAGAGTTCTGGGAATGTTAATCCTGAGGATTTTATCTGATTCGTCTCACAGCCCTTTTCCTCCGTCTATCAATGCGATAACAAAATCTCTTCTCTGTTGCCACCCGCCATTTCGAGTTTTTGCGCGCGGTCAGCAGTGGGAACAGGCAAGCGAATCATTGGAAGCGAGACATTCTTTACCGAAAGTCAACTCTTGTGAACTTTGCGCGGTTCGCTTCGCTTGCCGCGTGACGCTCGAGTACGCTTTCGCTTGTGGGGTTAGAATCGAAAACGTACCTAAACCGTACCGTACGGTTCCGTGGAGTGTGAATAGCCGGTTTGTTTGTACTGTATTAGTTTTCTCCAGTAAACGTCGCAAATAGGGGCCATTTTGAGTTTTCATTGCGCCACTTTAGTTTTGCACTGCACCACTTTAGTTTTGCACTGCGCCACTTGACTTTTGCACTGCGACTGACTTTTGCACTGCACCACTTGTAATTTGTCTTTTTGGCGTTCCATAACTTACTAGTTCTAATAATGTAAAGCGCATTGAGGCTTTTAGAAAAATACGCTCAATCAAGATCAAACTGTTAATATTAGTCATAGAGGTATAATATAACTAGAGCGCTAACCGCAATGTATTCGATGTTCGAAATACGCAGAACTGTGTGTGTGTACCATCCAAGATGGCTACCATAGATTTAGCCAATCAAATTTCGCTAAGTGCCATCGTTTGCAAATGCGCCCTCAATTTACTCAGAAAGTTCAGTACAGCTAGTTACCTGTATGTTTGAAACTCGAGCGTTGCGGTGTTGGGGTGTAATGTATACGATTTTAATTTTCATTCCTTGGTACTTCATTT